CGGTGACCGAACCCATCCCCACCACAGCAGGTACCCAAAAAGTCGACTTTTTGGGTACCTCCCAGGTTTACTATACCTGATCTCTTGCACCGATTTACCATCGGACGTCAGCTCTTGCCCGCAGGGCGCTGCCCATGGTCTCGGATACAATCAAGTGCCACAAGTGTCGGCGCCCGGACTTGTGCTGAAAAAGATTTACCCCATCACCACCAAAGCAGGTACCAAAAAAGTCGACTTTTTGGGTACCTCCCAGATTTACCATCGGACGTCATCGCTTGCATGAACCCGGTGATGCTGAACCCTTCTCCCCACAGGATATCATTGCCTAAAAATTCAAACCCATCACCACCACAGCAGGTACCCAAAAAGTCGACTTTTTGGGTACCTCCCAGGTTTACTATACGTGATCTCTTGCATGAACCCCATGCGTTCCTCACCGAAAGGTTGACAGTTTTTGGTGCAAATCTGGGAACCCACGTCAAGAGGACATGCAAGAAAATTTTCGGAAAAGCACCCTCCCGAATAACCAAAGCCTAGAGCATTCCTAGCATTTAGTCGAGAACGTAACAAAATCTAAGTGCAGCCAAGAGCATTCCTAGGAAAAATCACGGGCATTGGCCGGGAACTAGCAGAAGGTTACTAATTTTTGGGGTAAATCTGGGAAGCTAAAAAGAAGAGGAAGCACTAGAGAATTCTTGGAAAAGCATCCAGCCGAAAACATAACAAAATTTAGACAAAGCCTAGAGCATTCCTAGGAAAATGCTAGAAAAGCCTGTGAAAGTTCCATAGGTTAGCAAAAGGTTACCAATTTTTGGGAGAAATCTGGGAACCTAAAAACAAGAGGAAGCGCTAGAGAATTCTTGGAAAAGCCTCCAGCCGAAAACATAACAAAATCTAGACAAAGCCTAGAACATTCCTAGGAAAATGCCAGAAAAGCCTTTGAAAATCTCATAAACCGACAGAAAACGTGACAAAATCTCTACAAAAAACACGGGCATTGGCCGGGACCATGCCGCGACCAGCCCGGGATTCGAGCCCAGGACCATTTTGGACCGTGCTTATTTTCCCGCGCGGGTCGAGAGGGTGCCCCAAGATGTAAATCAATTGGGGATGGCAGATTCTTGGACAATCCACGTCACCTTCGGTCGCTTTTTTAGCAGAATTTCGTCACTGTAACAAAGGTCCCGGAGGGGTAGGGGAGGTAAGGTCTAAGGTCTAGGTCTAAGGCTAAGGACTAGGTCTCAGGCTACGGACTAACATCAACAGTCACGCCTTGACCCCACGGTGTGGGGTCGGCGGATTAATCAAGAGACTACATTACAGGACTAAAAAGGAACATATACTCCCAAGAACCTTTTCCAAAGTGGCCACCCCTTTCGACCGGTCTTACGGTCTTGGCGTCTTTTGATCATCGCGCACCTGGACTCGCACGTGGCCGGAAGCACCGCGCCGTCCAAGGTGAATTCGACTCGCTCATGGACGAGGCCAAGCAGCGCTTCACGTGAGCGGATGGCACGAGCTACGGGTGAAAAAACAGGAGCCAAATGCCGCAAAGGCCTGCTGTGGAAGGCATATGGGCACCTCCCCCAAAATGCCGGAAACATGGTAGCTAAGCTGTTGATCGTATATTCTCATCTCAGGAACCCTTGCTTCAACAGAAGGATGGCTTTAGGATTTGCGCCTGAATATTGAAGATGAACTTGTTCGAACTGCGGGGGGGCAGGCAGAACTTGGAGGGAAATCAGAGGAAGTCCTTCAAGATTGGAGTTGTAGTTCCTACATGATCGGCTCAGAGAAACCGCTTGCCTTTGAGATTTGTCCAGCAAAAAGTCACATCTGCACAGACATGGCCAAGGCTGCCTTGGGTTGGTTGGTGTCTTCAGCTCGCCCTGGTCGGGCTCTCAAATCCTGGTCGCATGATCCTGATGAGATGAACTTGACTCTGGGCTCCCTGGTTGTGCGTGCTCATTTTGACTCATATCAAATCCCGTCTATTTCCCTGACGCTCCATGTATGCCATGTATGCCGATCAGTTGGGGTGGTGCCAGGGGGTCAATGGGGCGGCCTATATTCCAGTCCCATGGGTCGTGTATGAGTAAAACCACTTAAAATTGCACACTGAGTGGCTTTTGCAGCGTGCAGGATCACCCTCATTCGACGGATCCGGGCTGGATCCGTCCTCCCCGGTGTTGGTGCGGATGAGCCGAGACGAACGTCGGTTCAACGACACCGGTTTCGTCCGAAGAAAGCTTTTCTCCCCAGCTAAGCGTGGTGGAACGTGCATGTTGAGAGTAGGGGGCCGCAGGAACACATGTGACAGTAAGAAAGTAGGTCACCAGTGGTGCGACAGACTTTCGATGCCATAAACCTACCCTCCGTCCAACAAACATGGTTACGTGGAATATGGCCTCTTGGAAGACGGTTTTCCTCTACAAACCGGTGGCTTTTCCACTTCCAACCGCTTGTTTCAGGGAGACCGGTCGATTCTCTGCTTCACCCCTGGCGATCCACTCATTACGTCGGCGGCGATCCACAGCGCTCGACTTGCATCGAATTGGTCGATCGAATTGGCAGCGTTTTCTAAGGCGACCATTTACTCTTGGCCTTCTCTGGCTATGGTTGTCAGCATCCTCGGAGCCCTGGCTCCGAGAAATGCGAGGCCGGCCCCTTTTTTTGGGCGCAGAAGGCTGATTGGAGGGACGCCGCACCACCTCGAAATGTTCATGTTGTTTTAAGAAGTGATGGAACACAGCATAATCAGGCATAATCCCATTGTTTGGAACAGAACCAGGCCATGAAAGGCACCGGGCATCATCAAGGCCAAATTATCCGGGTTCTTTGGTTCCAATTTGGGGGATACCTCACGACGTGGGTTCTGAGGATTCTGAGGTTGGATTTGTTGTGGGCTTTGATCTATGCTGAGGTGGTACATGCTTGTATTCGCACCAAAGGTTTGGGATGGTTTCGATTCCTAAAGCTGGCACCAGACATGTTCATTTAGCTTTTGCATATATATATATATATTAGATAAAGAATACTAAAAACAATGATAACACAAATTAATTCCTTTGGGGTGTTTGATGTACCAGCATTTTACGTTACGTCCTTGATCCTCTTTGCCGATGTGATGTCAGTCTAGAGCGCTGTAACAGGCTGTACATTTCTTTGCTAGATACAACTGATGGACCTCAAAACACAAACGCGTGTTTGCAGGGGCAAGATCACAGCAACCAGATGCTCACCTGGTGCAGGAACCAGGTCCTCCAGTTCCTGATCTCACCCAGCCAATACCCCCAGAACCGGACGTCAGAGCTACCTCGTCCCCTCCGACTTCGCGGATGATTTGCCCGAGAAGTTCTTCCAGACGTACGAGGCAGTGAAGAACCCGACGACCGTTGCTGTTTTTGGAGGGTGGGTGGATGTGAGTGGTGGTCCAAAATCGGTGGGGGAATTCAAGTAGGTGGCCCAAGGGGTTTTGGATGGTTTTGGTCTTATTCAGGGTGATTCATGTCCCTGAGTCTCCCCCTAAGATCCGTTCGTAGTCATTCAGTAGACTCTTGATTAATAACCCCCCCTTATTGAATATGAAGATGATGTTCAAGTCGGGTGTACTGTATTAATCAAGAGTCTGCATGACTTTCCCAGACGCTCCATGGGACTGCCATATATGCCGCCTACATTAGGGTGGTTGAGGGGGTCAATGTAGGCATATATTCCAGTCTCATGGAGTGTATAGGACTGCAGCAACATCGAAAAGAGATGAAACCATTCCAAAATGTCTTGTAATTTTAGACCTAGCTGTCGGATGTTGGCTAATTCGGAGGGACCCACAGGGAGTCAAGGAATGTCAAGGCTATTTGGCACATCCCGACGGGGCGAGTCCGTTCCAGGCCAGCGTGCCAAGCGCCAGCGCCAGAGCCTGGAGACCCGGCAAGCGAGCGACCAGGCCCTTTCGGACGGATGTCCCACTGGGACTGGTTCACCAAAAAGCAACAAAAAAAAACACATGGTAGATGGCTTGGCGCATGTTTCGCTTGGTGTATTGTCCAATATCTTCCAGATGTTTTCCAGATTTCTCAGGTGTATGTTCGATTTATTCTTCGATTCACTTGCTTTAGCTGGGGGGTGACTCTTCAGAAGGCGGCTCAGCGTTTGCTCCTCGGCTTGCCACGTGTCCCTCTGAGGCCGACACCCAGGGCTTGGGTGGTCCGGAGCTGAGCACAGTATATCCATACCCTACCTGCAACAATGAAGTAGACAACCCCCTGTTGGTATTCGGAATCTGGTCTTCCCACAACCACTGTTCAATCCCTTTTCATCCCATGTTGTTTCATTTCCATGAGTGTTTTCAAAGAGTATAACCCACGGTCGCTTGGGTGCTTCGATGTGCTTCGCTTCTTGCCGTCCTCGGTCCCATGGGGTGCTTCGGGCTGATTCTGGGCCGTGGACTCGATGCACGGTGGATGTGGTGGATGTGGTAGCGGATGCGACGTGTTGCCTGGAGGAGAAGATGGAGAAGTGAGAAATAGTTGTGATCTTTTGGGGGTTGAAATGCTTCACAGGACGTCGGACGGCTGCTTGTTGACTTGCAGATCTATAGAGGGTGAGAAACGTGAGAAAGACATGTGTGCTTTCCCGGTGGGACAAAAATGAAGACTCCGAAGAAGCGCTTCATGTAAGACTGGGATGAAGGCGGATTTTCAGAAGTTCAATCCTCGGCCACAATCACACAGGCGCTTCATGGAATTACAGTCTTCGTGACCCAACTGTGCCTCTTCTCTCATCACATCTCAACAGCAGAGGATTCAAGGGGGACATGTCATATAGAGATGTACATGTTTGACGGCTTTGAATTTCAACATGACCTCCAACAGAACCAACATGACCCTACATACCCCACATGGGCACATACCCTACAACCCTACATGACCTCTAACTTCTCATCCCTCTCCATCCCGCCCCCCCTCCATCCATGGCGCTTGGCTCCTGGAGGCACCGTGACGGCAGAGGAGCTGCGACGGCAGTGCGAGGTCGCCCGCGTCGCCGCTCGGAGCTCCATCCACTTCATTGGAGTTACAAGTGGGTGCGCTTGAGATCTTGGAGGACTTGTGAGCAGAAGGATCGGATGTTCAAAGCGTGTGTGATACTCCATGTATGCCATATACACTTTTCACTCATATACACGATACATTGACCCCAATGTAAGGAAATGTGGCAGTTCCATAGATGGTTTGGGTATAGAACTCCGTGTGGAGTCCCGAACTAGGTGAACTTCCAAGGACCTCAGGGCCTGAGGGTTGTTTTCGTGAAAACACGGAGAGGGATGTGTGATTTGAGGATGTGATTGCCCAAGTCGATTTGAGGATGTGTGAATCGACTTGTTTGAGGGAATCAATCTGTCGAGTTCGACAATGCGTCTCCAATGGTCCAACTATGCCTGGTCCAACCATGTCCAAGTGATGCCTGTGAGGTTTGTGGCTGATTTAGAAGATCACCCCTTCGATGCCATATATACAGTTCCTGGCCTAGGTTCCATAGATGTTCCTCAGCTCTCCCAGCAACCAGCACTGGAATAGGTGGCAAGTTAATTCCTAGTTACGTGCCGTCTTGGCTGATAGGTAGATATATAGATTATATAGATAAATAGATAGATAGACAGACAGACAGACAGACAGATAGATAGATAGATAATGATAGATAGATACATGCATTGATACACGGATCTCATTGGGGCATTAGGGTATGTCCCAGGTACACCAGCATGACTGTCCCTGCTGCCTTTCTCCAAGGCCGCGGCTGGCGGCCGGTATCGCTTGATCTCCATGTTGGAGGCGGGACCCGCGCGGACAGTGTCGGTACCCAGAAAACGGTCCGGCTTGACGTTTTATTATGATGTTTTGGTCGTGTTGCCAGGGTGATTTCGTGAGATTTGCTTGGTGAAGCTCCGTTTGTATGTTTTGTTGGGGGGTCGCCCGGGCGAGCGTTTTCACCTGTTTACCTATCGAACAGCAGTGACAATGGGTCCTCTCGTTTGGTCGTGCCGGTCCCATCCGTGGGAGTCCGGTCCTGAAGTCGGTTCGCTAGGTTGACTGAAGACTGATGTGATTGGTTGATGCCTGAAGTGATCATGATCATGGAATTCAGCTATCGTCTTGTGATATGGTTGCTTGATACATGTTGATACTATACAGAAAGTTTCCTGAACAGATCATGTCTAAAAACCATGTTGCCTCAACGGCTTGGTTTTTCTGAAGAGACGATATGATATGCGTGATTTGTTGGCTCCCTGACTCAGACCATCTTTCGTCCGGACCTCCCAAGGGCTGCCGTCTCAGCCGTCCTGCTCCGCTGTGGACCTCCCCGCGACGCGGCCGAGGTCCACGACTTCATCAGCCGGTTGCCGAAGAGGCGGACGACCACATGGTCCAGCGTTGCCCGTAGTGTACAGTCGAATGTTCATTCAGCTAGATGTATTACCCAACTCATTCAGCTAGATGTAATACATTCTAACAACCATCGTCTTTATTCACATCTATTCACTAGTCATTCACCAGGAGTTTGGTGTTTGATGGCCCTGGCAAGTATTAGATGTAACTTGATACCCCATGAAGGACATGAAGGAACCGTAAACCGTGCCTCTCGTCGACAGGTGTTGCGTCACGGTGGTCATGGATGCGTGCTATGCGATTTTACCTGGCGCTGCTCGGACAGACTTGAGGTTGGAAGAAACTATGGGGTCAAAGAGAAAACTATTTTACTATACCTTGTTATGCTTTAACAATCGGTTATCATCCTGCGTGGGGGGGGCCTTTGTTGGGGCATTGATATTTGATCTCGCATGATGAAGCGGCTTGAAGCGGAATCGGCAGAGTGAATTGGTTTGGGCGACTGGATGCCTGGGTTTTAGGAACAACGTGCTGGTATGATCTGACATGCTCACAACTCAGTTGGCCAAGAAGTGAGGACTAAGTGATCTCATTCTGGGAAGTACAGTCACTTTGAAGGTAGATGATGAAGTATCCATCATATTTGGAGTGCTTGGTCAGTAGGTTCACGCCAGCTATCCCAAGCCCTCCCAGCCTCGCCCTGCGCTTGGGCCTTCCCAGGTGGGCGCTGACTCGCCGGCCACCTTTCGCAAGGCGGGCACCATGGCGGCCAGGCCATGGCCGTGGGATAGGTCCGGCCTGCGGCGGAAAAGGGTGGTCTACCCGAAGAATTCTATCCTAAACATGCCATGGATGGAATACTATGGACTATACACCATACCTACATCTCAACAGAACCCTCAATGTTTTGGCGATTTTTCTGAAGTTGTACTGAACACTTCTGCATGGACGACGTTTGGTGTTTGAAGCTTTGGACCGGCCAACCCGGACGTATCGTCGTCAAGAAGGCCTGCGATGTAAATGCAAAAAGACATTACGTTGAAGTAAAGCCTCCCACTTGCTGGAGCACCCCATGCAATCTCGGCCCGGGGAGTCCAAGGGGCGTCCAAGACCATTTTAAATACAATCTTCCTTCACTTTGGTGGTCCCAATTATCCCTAGGGCGACTTCACCATATCCTCAGGTTCGGTGGTTAGACCCCCCTGGCACCCACCCTAACCAGCTTCTCAGGAGGTAGTTGGAGCCCTAAGGTATATACGTTGCACCCAAGCTTTCAAGTGTGCAGCTTCCCAGTTGGCATGCTGTACACCCAGTTGAACAACATAAGGCAAACCTGATCAGGCAAAACTTCCACCACATGTGGGAAACCATGGCATGGAAACACTCTACACTTAGTACTATCATCTTCATTTCCCCACAAACTCGCAATGACCCGGAAAACTAAATATGTTTGTTGCCAACCGCTCCTTTCTGACATCGCGGTTGGCACGGAACTAGGAGAGGGACCCATGTTTCATCCTTTTGCACTAGCAGCGATCGTGAAACTCACAGGATATCAGGATCCTGAAAATCAGCAGCAACAAAGGGCATCGCCTACGAACGGAACAAAGAGTTTCAACATCGTTCCACCTCCACCGGACCTCCACCGTTACCCCAGGTGGATCGTGGAGTGGTGGAGTATTCCAAGCTCTGGAATTTCATCAGCCCACACCCCGGAACGCTTCGTGGTGGGCGCAACCGACGGTGAGAGGGCGCAACCGGTGAGGTGCCCACGACGATTGACTAGTATCGACTGATGAATGAATGCTCGTTCTCAAAGACGCATGGAACCGGCTTCTCCAACCTACCTTTCAAAGCCGGTCTCGAGGGAGGCCACAGGATGGATTTCTTACTATTGCTATCCCCTCCACAGGGATCGAACCCGATCTCTTCGCAGGGTTGGGCAAGTTTGGACATGTTTGGATCCTAAAGAAACAAGAGTCTTTTCATCCCTGACTGGGCCTGGTTTTGCTTAAGGATCCGGTGATTGGTGGTTTTCCCTGACTGGTTCAATCCCCTTCGCTTTTTCCCCCCAGGCTCCTGGACAGCCAATCCGTCCCAGCTTCGCTTCGTCCGAGGCAGACCGCGGTTCCTGGAGTTGCCTCCGCTCCCGGCCCAGAAGCCCAGACTTCCAAGGGGAAGTACAGTGAGTGTTGGTGATTAGAGGTGGTTTAGTATGGGGTTCCCTTGATCCAGTATACGAACAACTGTTCCATCAAGGTCGGTTCAACTGGCAGCCTGTGAATCTTTAGGTTCATAGGAACCGAAGGCTGGCACTTGAGTCTGTGCCAAGTGCAGTTGCATTCCCCTTTGCATGCATGGAAGTTCAATGAAGTTCATACACCTGTATGGCACATGTGTAACTTCGATAAAACAGGATCAAACATTGTCGTCATGTGAGCTGCCATGTGGCGTGACCATGACGACCCATGAAAAGACATTTGCTGCTGAGGTGCAGCATACTCCACCCGAACTGCCGAGAAGTACCAATCTCTTGGCTTGCACGCGCCGAACTCAGAAAACCGCAGCACCCCTGTGAGCGGATAACTCCTGGTATAGACCCTAATTCTTCGGAGTTTGTTTTGACTCTTGTTTTGGCCGACTGGGTGCATTTGAGCGGACTGGTTGACACCTGCCCAGGCTGCATTGCTTCTCGGGGTGCAGGTGCTGGAAGCAGTGCTGAGAAGACGACCCAGTAAGTGTGGGGCAGGCTTTGGGATGATGGCACGCATATATATATATATATATATTCCTGCCTTAACAAGAGCCTCCAAAAAGCGCCCAGATTTCCCATGATTGATGGGTAGCCCAGAGATTAGGTCTCAGGTTCAGCTTTGAGACAGTTCGAGAAAGCAGCGCCGAAGGGTGCCAGCCGAGACCCTTCAAGGGTGTGTCGATGAATTAGCCCCGAAAAGAGGTGAAATGGTGTCAATGAAGCACCCCTTATGGATCCTATGGGTTCAGCACGAGGAGGACAGGACACTTTTTTACTTATTGGATTTTTGGGGGGAGGTTGCAAAGGTTCCCCCCAAAGTGACTGAATGAGCAACACATGCACCACAAGAATGGTCCATCGCGGCACCTTCGCATGGACCTAATGAACCGGATGTACTCCTGGTTTCATGATGGCACCTTGGAAGTGTTGGTGAATGCTCCCTTGGTTTCTCGCAGAAACGGCTTGTTGTTGTTGATCCAATGTGGAAGAGCATGCACAGCAACCCCCTAAGGCCCTAGTTCCAAAAAACTGCAACCCAAACACTGCTGGTGGAACTGATTGGTCAAACACTGACTACAGACACCGGAGACCTCACGGGAGGTCCGACCAGTCGCCCCTCATCTGGAGGTGCCCAAGCGTTCATTCCAGGCTAAAGGAGTGGTGCGCGGAGTTCCCCATCGAAGGTACCGTTCAGGGTGCCTTCAGTCGTGCCCTGAGCAGCAGAAGAGAGTGAGGAGCGTCAACCGTGGATGACCATCCACATTCAAATTTGGGTGATGCTGAAAGAGGGTCCTGTTTTAAGTTTGGTGACATGATCATGGACACGTGTGACGAAGGATGTGGCTTGCCCTAGCAGCTCAGATTGCACAGCAACGCCGCGCACCTGTCGCCGCAAACCAGGCTGGGCCTTTCTGAAAGCCATGGCACAGGGGCACTTCCACGTGGGCATCTACCAGCACAGCCCTGAGAGGTTTGACCGGAGCGCTTGGGTTGGGATTTCCGGTGCTTGACTTGCAAGGGGGTGACTTAGGGGTAAGGATATGTGAATTATGTGATGATCTTTTTGAGTTAGCAGGGGCCTTGGAGCGGACGAACTGCTAGGTATTAGGCTATAGGAACCAGTTGGGTCGGCTATGATGCATGGGCTGTCGACCTCATGGTCATCAGTTTAGTCATCCGTTTGATCAACTGTCGTCCATCCTCCAAGGCTTGCCCAAGGCTTGCAAGTGGAATGGCAGATCGGCCACGAAGTCTCTGCAGAACTGAGGTTTCAGCAGTTCATGGCCAACCTCTTGTTGAATCTCAAGGTGTGCCGGTGGCAGACTTGGAGTTTGTTCGGTTTGGGGGCGTTTGGCTGTACCCTGCACTGGCCCTATACAGTACAACATAGTAGAACTAGATTTATGGATGTCCATTGGCAACAGTCCTGACCATGTTGGCATCAATGGTGGCAACATAGGGTTTTTGACGATCAAGTGCTCAACGTAGGTCGCCCCAAGCTCAGGAGCTGGCACACTAGTTCCACAACGACCAATTACCACCGGTGAGCACGGTTCCGCGACAAATACGTTCAAAGCCGTTGAGCCACTCATAGGGAGCCTGGAAAAGAGAAGCCATGCGTGGGTTTGCAGATCGGGTGATGTTGAAGGATGAATCCCCTAAACCTGGGTGAATCCCCTGAAACCTAGATGAATCTCCTGAAACCTGGGCCTGGGCCAAATCCCCTGAAATCTGGGTGAATCCCCTGAAACCTGGGTGAATCCCCTGAAACCTGGATGAATCC